CTTTGGACCATTTAATGGAAAAATCATGGACAGAAGAAAGTCTCCAGACAAAATGCACTTTTTTGTATCACAGGTAAGTGTGTATAACTGTAGAATTCAAATAGAAATATCATTTGCAGGGCTGCAGTCAAGAAAATACTCTCATGGGTAAGATTTTCATTGAGCCGGTCACCATTTTTCGCGAGAGACCTGATCCAATCTTTCACAATGCTTTGAATGCGGGGCTACCAAGTTTTCCTTTACAAGATGGCAGATGCAGTACATTGAAAGAAAGCATGCTAAACAAGTGCTCAAAGCAAGATTTTATTTAAATTACTTTACTCATTATAGTGACACAGACACTCAAGTTAGTCAGTAATTTATTCCAAACTTTTCATTTAGACTGTTCGATATGATTTGGATATCAAATGATTGTATTTGCATAACCTAAAAACTGCTCATTGTCCTTTACCGAGTGATTGCCTGCCAAAATCCAGCCGGCAATCACATCTTCCTCAACCGGCAAATTTCGCTGGCAGCTGGTGCTTAGTGACATTACCCTGTATTTGTCTCTTGCAATAAGATTCTAGGGTGAGCTAGTCATGAAATACATAGAGGTGGAAGAAAAAATTTGGAGGACTCGTGTATACATGTAGCATGAGTACTCTCACTTTAGAGACGTTGTTGACTGAACTTACAAAGTTAGACCTCTGATAATATTGTTCTTTTCTTCACAATCTTGTTTCATATAGTGCCTTATACTCAAAGTTAACTGTGGAAAGAGTTTCATGTTTCAAAGATGCAGGGATCCATATTGTTTTTTGTCCAATTTGTCAGCCAGGCAAGTATGCCAGATGGCATACTTGCCCAGGCAAAATTTTACTTGCCCATTCATTAGGGGGGAATGCCAACTGAACAATATGTTAATGGAAAGTTATTAATGGATAATTTTATTGCAAAAGAAATCTGCGAATCACTCTTTGCTTTCTAAAAGTTCCAAATAGATGACAAGTGGTCAGAATGCAGATAACTCATAAGAAAAATTCAGAATTTTTTTTTACATACATATGTACATACATGCGTTATTGTTGCTTCCCCAATGGGGCTTTTCAGGAACAATGATTAACTACACTAATTACATTTAACATTATAAAAAAAAATACAATAAAACTATTGAAAAGATCCAAGCAAATAGAAAAATATATAAAAGAAAGGGTGTACAACCTGTACATGTTCTTGAGAAGAATTTAAAAATTTTTCTAAAAGTTTGGCCTTAAGAAGATGTTTAAAAACTTGGACCGAACAGCTTGGTAGAGTCAAACTAAACTTGTCCAGCGGATGAGTTTTCATATTGTTTTGGTCACCCATACGTCTTTTAGTCATCTTGGATGACTGGATGACTGCGAATATAGATCCCTGCAGATGGAAATGATTTTTTGTTTCAAATTTATTTTAGCAGAACTACTCAGTTAGTTTTTCAGGGGGACTTAGTTTCTACCAGTACTTCATCATATTTTTGCATATGCATGACTGTGCAGTACCATTATGATTATACATCTATACCTTAATACATGCATTTTTAGGTGGAAGATAAAAACAGCAGAAACAGATCATTGAAGTTTTTCTACGCACACAAGAATGAGAAAGACAAATGTGGCTGGCTCAGTCGACTTCAGAGTGCAACATCAGAAGAACAACAGAATGTTGTGGCTTATAACTGTTCCACAGGGGTCTGCTTTGAAGCCCTTAAAGACATAGCGGCAGGGGAGGAGTTGATGGTGTTGTTTGATAAATCATTTAAAGGTATTTGTAGAATTACCATTTAAGCAGTAGAGGACTTTTTCCGTGTTTACATAGCCTCTTCTAAACACAAGGGGGATTCAGAGAATTCAAGACAGTGAAGACTACAATGTATGTCTCAGGTTTGCATAACTTTCGAGAGTTCTGCTAACCCCCCAAGTTTTTAGATGAGGCTGTGTAAACACAGAAAAAGTACTCTATTGCTTTTATAAAATATTTCTCAAAAATACCTGCAAATCTTCAGGTGAAACGTCACAATTGTGGTTATGTCCTCTCATCTAAACACACCTATCGACCAATGAGAGTGCCCATAGTATCTCAGTTATTTTGCAAATAATAATATACATGTTTTTCCTATGTTAATTCGGTCCTCCTCTCTCTCCTGGGGCTTATCAATCATTGGTTCACAATCATATGGTTGCCAATGAGGTTAACATGTGCTTCTCTTTCAGTAACAGAAAATTATTTTGGAAAGTCACGATTGATGTTTCCAAGTGAAATAAGGATTAACAAGTCATAAAAATACAGGGGTTTCATTAAGGGCCAGGCACTGGGCAAATTAACCGGCTGTGAGGATGATTTTCCCTACCTGGTTTGACTCTCTAGAGGAAAGCTTTTCTTACAAAGATGTTCAGTTCAAAAAGTTTTGCCCGCCTGTGAAAACCAGTTGCCTTCCTGCTGAAAATGTTAATCAAATGAAACCCCCTGAAAGTACATGTACCCTTCATCATTCAGAGGACCACATACATGTATACAATACATTTTGCCTCGACAATATTGATGATATAGTTCCTTCCTTTTCTGATAGTTTTCTTTTTTCTTATGCCTACCTACCTGATAATGCCTTGACGTTGTAATGAGAAGTCATGTATTGATCAGTCTTGGTATGCGTTACATTTCAGGGTTAGAATATCCAGCTTATGTTGAAAGCATACCCGTCTCCTTCATCACAGATGAAAGAGGTGGACAGATAGCAGTGGTGCCACTCGATAAAGAGGTGGATCACACTAAAGTATATGTTAACCCTAATGATGATGATAATGATGATAATAATGAGGAGGAGGGAGCTGGGAAGGCTGATGACAATGAAACAGCTGCACCTTTAGATGTAGAAGATGTGGAAATTATAGGAATTGATGATGATGATGATGATGATGATGATGATAAAAGTGACTTCAATGTTGATGATGATGATGATGAGGGTAATGACCATGTTGACGATGATGATGGCGGCGATGGTGACAATGACGATGACAGTGATGATGATTACTGTGATGATGAGGATGAGGATGACTATGATGATGATGATGTTGATGATGATGATGATGACATGGATGACAGTGATTATGAGTTTATTCCTAAGAGTAACGTGAAGTTAGTGGTGGAGAATAAAAGCACCGATGATGATACTGTGATGGGAGAAGGGGATCATAGAGAAAAGCAGACAGTTCATCGCAAAAGAAAGCCCAACATCAAAGAAATAGCCATTGTTGATGCGGATAACGGTTCAGGTACATGTAATTCAATTTTTGATGTGCATTTATGTCAGTTAGTGGTAGTCAAATGTAGCTCAGGTTGGGCAGTCATGGTTACCTGGCTGTTGTCACTTTCATCATTTCACCTGGGAGTGTTTGGCCTCAGTTCAGGCTGGTAGTGAGATCTGTCAACCCAGTGGAACCTACCCACTCCCCATCCTCATCTCTTATGCCTGAAAACTTCAAAATGTACAAAGCCTGATCCCTCCTTCTCCGAAATTCTCAGGCAAGGAATTCTCCCCCAAATCCTAGTCTACATGTACGTACCAGACGTTTCCTTTCCATTTTCCAAGTGGGGAGATCGAGCAAGGTAGCGAGCAAACGAGCACGCCTAGGGTGAGCAAAGTTTGGAGAGAAATGGGGAGGGGGTGAGCATGAAAAGGAGGAGAAGGGAGAGGGGGTGGGGAGGAAAGAGATTAACTCACCCCCTCCCCCTGCTCTTTGTCTTTTGGCACTTGTTTGCAGTTTTTTTCCCTTTGCATTCTTTAGAAAGTGAATGCAGGCTATGCAGGCTATGCAGGCCAGCCCAATCCCTTTTTTAGCACTTCTGGATCTACCTCAGTCTATATTGTTAGCACCCAGCAAAAATCTTACTTTGACTTTACTTTTAATTATTTATGACAACAATGTACATTGTATATTTTCTACATTCACCCTGATTTTCTATCTATTTCTCTCTACTGAAAGAACTAATTGTACTCTTATCATTGATGTTTGTCACTAGACACAACCAAATTCCAGTGTACCCACTGCCTGGAGGAGTTTATGCAAAAAGAGAAAGCTCTGCAACATAGTTCTTCCTTGGAATGCCTTTCAAGACAGTTCCGATGTGACACATGCACTCAAGAGTTCAGAAATGCTTTTGTACTCCAGAGGCACAGATGTGGAGGGAAGCCAAAGTATGAAAATTAAAAAAATATATATATATTTTATAATGATATCATGGGGGACAAAAATTACCCTTTAATTTTGGCGCAATATTTCGGCGTCAATTATAATGTGAAATTACAAAATTGCCATGGCAACGTTTGGCGTGAAATTTTTCGATACAATAAACAAGTCAGAAATCCAGGATTGTAAGACGTAGTTTGTCACCTATGATATTAAAAGGTAATCAAATGGTATACTTGTGAAATCAAGAAATGAATTCTTAATTTCACTCGTCACTAGTTGGTTACCCACTCAAAATTGAGTGTACATGGAGATGAGCGATGAAACAAGACAGGCCTCATTTTCAAAATAACACCTCCAAATCGGCAGAAGAATTAATCAAGCAGCAGTAGTTATAGAGATTGGTCAAATGCAAGATGAATTTATTAGGCAAAGGGCGCTTTCCATTCAACCAGAAATTGCAGAACTTTCGAAACAGAGGCAAATTTTAATTTCCTTGGAAAGTTTCCGGAAAATTGGAAAATTGTTATGTTTTCGAAATGTGAACCATTCAACGGAAAATTTCGTAAATTCTGCGGAAAGATCAGAGAGAACGGTAATTTCCGGTCAGAAATTTTCGAAAATTTGGTATACTTCGTGAGGTTGTCTGTTTTTCCAGGAATTTCCGGAATTTGTTTTGGTTTTGGTTTTACTACTAGTGGTTTGAGATCGGTAGAGTAGTCTAATTGGTAAGTTATTGGTTTGGTTTTGGTTTTGTGACACTCACTTGAAAACCGCCCTATGATGGCTGTGTAAATCTCCCTCCTTGGCGCGTTTTATCTTTGTTTTCATTAGCACTTCTCGCGACAAGCTTGTGACAATCATACAAATGAAGTATTTTCTTTTAGGTGCAAGATTTGTGACGAAGGGTTTCAGGAGTGGAAACAATTACAAGATCACGAGAGTGCTCCACCAGAAGATCACCAACCAAAGTAACTCAAGTTTTTCTTTAAATTAGGATACACTTAACGGCACGCTAACTTTTGTTACTCTGTGTCAAAATTCTAAGACCTGCCTAACGAATGGGCGATTCCAAAAATCGAACAACATTTTCCTCAGTTTGGCATACCATTTTTTCGTCCTCGACGTAGCATACCAAGCAGAGTTTCCTTTACGCAAGTCGCGTTAATTTCCTTCTGCAGGAAGGATACGGATTTAAAACGAAACTAATTCCTTGAGCGCCGGTTCAAAACATTGGACAAGACGCTGAAAGTTAAGAAGGGACCTTAAGCAAACCACGTCGGCAACGGCGACGAAAACACCACCAAACAAAAGGTTTAATGAGCAGGTCAATAGCCGCGCACACTATGAATCTTTGAACATTTCTTTGCTGTCCTCTGCAAAACAACAACGTGAAATGATTAAGTTTTGCGTATTTTGGAGAACGCGAACAACGGCTAATTTTTCGTATTTTCTTTTGGAATTGAATGCTGGCGTTACATATTTACAGCTCGAGCAATTTCTGAGACCAACAGACACTCTCAACAGATCTAGATAATTGCGAAATTCGAAGGTAAAATGTAAGTTCATGTTTTACTAGGCGTTGTCCTTGGGGTCGCGTCTAATCTCAGTCGCATTTGTGCCCAGCTGGTCGTTACCCGTTGTTTTACTGGCGATATTAACTTGATATGCCACCGAAGTTTCAGTGCCAACGTTAAATGATATGTATTGGAACCTGTAAGGAGACTTGATATTTTAATCTTGGTTAGCAGTGCTTGAGTCGGAAACATGCCTTTG